CAAGTTTATCAACAGAAGGAGGAAACGCAACTCTCTTGTCACCATGATTAACTAATTTCTTCGCGGCTGTGAATAACTTATGTTGATTAGAGTTATTTGTCTCAATGAAGTTCTTGTAGAATAGGCGACGGGCTTCGTTCATTAGCTTGTTCGTATTATTCTTCGTAATTTTATAGTTCTTCATGTCTTCAGTGTGGCCAGTACGACGCCATTTTCTCTAGGCTTTTCTCTTCTCTCGCCTTGCAATTTTAATATCATCATTGAACCAGGGAACTAATGGTCTAGATTTGATGACCTTCGTACATAGGGGTGCGTGCCGGTTTAGTGTCTGAGCTAAAGTATCATTATAGCATTTCACAAGTTCATTAAGCGTGTCAGGACTGTTTATACAAAGATCTGATGTCAATAATTCTTCTCGAAGTCTTGTTTTATCAATTGCTTTAATTTTTCTATATGATACTTGTTTCTCAGTTGGTGGTATTCTTCCTAATGTGAGGTCGCATATGACTGTGATATGATCCGAAAACAAATAATCTGTTAAAGGACGAGTGGGAAGTAAAGTATCAGAATTCCGCGTGATTATCAGATCAAGGGTGTGTCCAGATGTGTGAGTAGGCTTGTCAACATGTTGATCAAGACCCATAGAGGACAACAGATCAAGAAATCGAATAGCGTTAGGATCACGTGAGATATCGACATGGATATTAAAATCTCCAACGATTAACAAAGGTTCGGAGGACATGATTACAGATTCCAAATATGTGGAGAATTCATCGAAAAATACACTTGTGACACGCAGGGCGTACCCGAGGCCCCGGGATTACTAGAAAGAGAGCAGATTCGCGCTATTTTCTTCTGCTGGAAATTCTTCTGAGCTTTAATTCCTGAAACACGATTGACCCCTCGTCGCGAAAATATTGACTTGGCTGCGCCTCTTCAAAACGTTTCTTTTGGGAAAGAAAACTGAATGACGCACAATGCTAATGAAACAATGCCAGATCCAAACAGATCCCTCGCTAACGCAGGAAAACCTTGAATAATGAATGATTATGTTATTGAAAAGAACATCTTCGCGGGCATCAAGCCTTGTGACGGGTTATGCATAAGGTCTATTCTCTCACCTCAAGACGGGTTGCTGTGTTTTCCAAGATTTTACTTTGACTGAGCACTCTCTTTTTAAGTAATGTGATTTCTTTACGCAATTCATCGTTCTGAAATTTTACAAAAATTATTGAAAATAGGGTTATTTCACGACAATCCAACCTTAATTGAAAGTCATTAAATAATGTATTTTCATCGCATGAAATAATCTTTTAATCGGCCTAATAATTACATGTAGGTACGTTAGGAAACCTACACGTAATGTATTATATATTATACTGCACGATACCTGTCTTGTTAATCTATCTGCAGATGTAGGTCCAGACGAAAGATGCTCAGCCCACAAATGATCCAACACCTTGACACTTTTAAACAACAATGTCCGCAACGATTCCAACTCTTTCTTTAACTCGTCAAGCTAAAAGCAGAAAAGAATTCACTGGAAATACCAACAAATACCTTGATACATCAATATATCACGACTTACAAAAGCATTTGGGTTTGAGGCATTAGAGTACTAGTACATTTTCCCACAAAAGCGCAAATCAAATTCTCCCAAACCAAAACACCCTATTCTCCGATCCGAGTTTGACGTCATCAATTTTTCATCTCACTATCTACATTTCTTTGCCAAAATTGGACCTCATAATTGAAATTGTCATGCTCAAATTAGTGTACACTGAAAATTTCATGACGTTTGGACATTCATGGCGCGAGTTAAGTCGTTTTGAAAAATTTTATATGTCCTAAACATTTGCAATTTGCCGCTGGAACCCTCTCCTGCCAAAAAAGCTTCATATGTCCTTGGAACACATCTCATCATACCAGAGTATAAGGATCCGTTCTTGTTTTAACAGTTTCCAAACCACGGCTACGCTACTCGTGACCAGGCCTTTTACTTACTTTACCACTGGAGTCGTGTTCCTCCAAGGTTATTCTCATTATTTTCACCAACAGAGACTCGGCATTTTGAAAACTGGAGTTGATGTACTGTCGAAGATCTTGAAGATTTTGAGATTCCAAGTTTAAACTTCTGTTCTTGTCGCTTGGCGAGTTCGCTGTGGCAGTGGACCGATCTAAAACTGTAAGGAAAATAAACCTTAAACATCATATTTACGAATCGAATCAGTATTTGTAATAGTGCAAGTGATAACAAATGTCAGCTACGGCGTAGAAAGGGATCATAATACATCAATCTGGACTAACATCGGGAACATTTCGCTACTCGACCAGTTTCTCACCAATGAGGTTTTGTGATTATGATTTCGACTGTTTTGTCACATGTGCGATGGATGATTCTAGTTAGTCTCACAGGACCTCCTGTTCGAACGCTGGACCACAAAAGGCTGCTTTCCAGTTAAGCGTTTTTCATACGTACGTATACGCAAAGTCTTTTATGAAATAATTAAATGAACAAAAAGCACATCATTTAGTTTTGTGTGTGATTTAAAGTGTACTTGTTGAGGTAATTAATACGTTATTTCGACATTTAAAAAGCACGCTGGGGAAGGATTTGTGACGTGGTTATCGAAAGAGTGTATTGGGTGTACGTGCATACACTGTATATGTTTTATATCGTATATAGATTGTATGTGTAAACCAGGTCATCAACGTAATAGACCTTTCCCCTTATGAGTGAAATTTTGATCTAGACAAGTCTGGACAAAAATTTCATCACAGCTTGAAAGAGCATCACAAAATTAGTAATATTCCGAAGTTTCGTTGCGAAATGTTGTAAATTGCGGATAATAGCATAATAGTGAGCTTAAGCAAATGACGTTTTTGACAACACGAACGGCATGAGTAACGTCAGAAGACTGGGTCAAGGGCGGTGATTGGTGAAAAACGTCAACTTTACTTCCGGTCAACGTCCGTGTTGTCAAAAACGTCACTTGCTTAAGCTCACTAATATATAGCCTTGCGAAGTTTGCCGTTTTTCAGTCATTTTGTATTACAAATGGGAAATTGATAATCAGTTTGATCATCTGATTATTGATGTTCCTGAGCCGTTTTGTTCTTGTAGCTGTTTAAGTATTGTTGAACGGCACAAGAAAAAAAAACCTTGAAAAACGCTTTACTTGGAAAGCGGCCTTAACTTAAGGGAAAGTGCGCAATTTAGGGGAGAGAGTGGGTTTCGCCGTTTTTGCATGTACCTATTGTTTAATTAACGTTATTGCTATTGTTTTTGAGTTAAACGCGGGGGGGCATTTTCAAAAATTTTCTTGCGTGCCTACCAATTACTGGACCTCTAGGGAGAACAGTTTAGAACTGATAGAGCTACTCAGTATAAATTACTTCAGTTTACCATACGAAAGAAATTTTGCTACAAAATCAGCGGTGACTTACTAGGCGACACCATAGGAGTTGTCCTAGCTGTCACATGTTCAGGTGAACGGGCGGGCGGTGTTTGTCGTTGCGGCGAGGAAGATAGTTGCTTCTGTAGTATCTGTCTTAGCGAGTTATTCGACTGTATACTGGCTTCTAGTTGTTCTCGTAAACTGCGGATTTCAGCCAACAATAACGTGATGGCATCGTTATTACTTGATCCTGTGCTGCTCTCTGAACCTATATGAAACACAGACAAAAACAACTGGCGGTTAGCACAAGAAGTGTGAAAAAATCTCGTGTTTTGATTTCAATTTAATTAAAGAATAATACTACGCGGGTTTTATGAACTGAGAACTTGATTAGCGATAAAGTATTACACTTGTGATGTTACTCTGAGTGTGCATCCACACCGGGCAAACTGATAAGTTTGCCTGACCACGATGGGAATCGAACCCACGAACTTTGGGATACTACTCCAATGCTCTACCCACTGAGCTACGTGGTCAAGTCGGTTCGAATTGGTAATATTTCGAAACTGAGTCTAGTTCCTTCGATATCAATGTATTCTACACAGCCAGAAATCTCACAGGTCTGTCGCAAGCTGTTCATTTTACCGGCTTGCGGCAAGTTGTCAACAAGTCGCGACAGGTCTGTTGGTTTCGTCAGGCGGTAACAGGCTTGCGGTAACAGGTCTGTCGCAAGCTGTTGACAACAGAGCCGTAGCAAAGATTAGATACTATAAAGATGTGTCACTCGACGTATTTCCCTAATGTTTGCGTGTCCGTAATTTTCCGTGCTGATCACGAGTGATCACGCGAGATGACGAGTGCATAACACTTACTGCCAAAATGGCGGCGAGACTGAATACAATAGGTTGCCATCGCGATGCTCGCGCTATATGACGAATTTTGACGAATTTGACACTTACTGGCAAAATGGCGGCTATAAAAAAATCTCGAACATAATTTTCGCAGAGTGACACATCTTTATAGTATCTAATCTTTGGCCGTAGCGACTTGTTGAAACAACCCGCTACAAACCTGTTACTAACAAGAGATAACAGGTCTGATCGAACAATTTGCAGCAAGTCTGTTGAAATCAACAGGTCTGTTACAATCTGTTCCAACAGACCTGTCGCGAGTTGTTTTTGTCAAGTCTGCAGCAAGCTTGTTATCAGACCTGCGACAGACCTGTCCACAACAAACAATTTTTGTCCTGTCACAACAAGTTTCAACAAGCCTGTTGTAGGGAAACAAATCGAAAATGTGAGTAAAGAGATATAAAATCGCACGAAATGGACACTTCCGGCTTCACTTTCTCATTTAATCATTGTCATTGGTGGCGATATTAAATCACATAGGAGAGATTATAGTCCATAGTATCTATTCTCTGATTATTATAAAATGCAAAAGCCGCTGTTTTATTTTTTTTTTAAAAAGTTCCGATTTCCAAAATCCAAATTCCAATTTGCTGACGTGTGCTATCGCTATATTTCTTTAATCTGATTGGATAAACGCGTGTGCACACGTCATCATTCCTCGTTGCAATTGGACGAAATATTACAAACATATCAATCACGTAATCATGTTTAGTTGTTCTTCAATTTTGAGCCAAACAAAATTTCAACAACTGCCTCAAACAAAATCAAACAAGTTCAAAGCTGTTTTGATTTTTGAAGAAACTGTAGCAATGAGAATACAAGATCTAGAGCTTAAGAAATGAACAATACATGAACAACCGAGTGTTCACTGCAACGTTCGTCATTGCTGATATGAACATGAAATTGAGAAATTCGTTATATAATTTCTTTCCAATTTCAAGTGAAATCTGCGAGCGAGGAGGACGCCTTATTGAAGCTTTGTGTTTATGGTATGTACTGTTTTGAAGAAAAATATGCAAGTAGGTTGTCATATTTCGGTCGTACTTCAAGACAAATAATTTTGAAAATTGTTTACGATAAGAACCTTTCTTGAATTTGTCGTATTTTTTCGGCTGTTTTGCTCAAAAATTATCTCGCAAGTTTGTTTATAAAACTTTATATTCATATATAAAAATTATTTCACAAGTTTGTTTATAAAACTTTATATTCATATATAAAAATTATCTCGCAAGTTTGTTTATAAAACTTTATATTTCAAACTTCTATTTCACGAAACACTACAACCGAAATATGGCAACCTGTTTGGCCGTTTTTTGTTCAAAATAGTGGATAGACAAGCTTCATAAGGCGCTTTCCTCGGTTTGCAACAGGTCTGTCGCAAGTTGTTGAAAACAGCATTGCTGCAGCTCTGTGTCAACAACTTGCGACAGGCCTGTTGAAAACAGCATTGCTGCAGCTCTGTCACAACAGCTTTTAACAGACCTGTTGAAAACAGCATTGCAGCAGCTCTGTTACAACAGCTTGTAACAGACCTGTTGAAAACAACATTGCAGCAGCTCTGTCACAACAGCTTGTAACAGACCTGTTGACAGGCCGTTGCAAGTCTGTCAGAACAGACAGGTACAAGGCGAGCGAACGCATCCAGATATCGGCTTGTTGACAACAGGATTTAACAGATCTGTTGCAGATCTGTTCCGACTTGCGCGTTTCTGGCTGTGTAAGATATGACACTTTTTGTGTGTGTTGGTGTTGTATACTCAGGTGAATATGTTTGTGGTGTTACTCTGAGTAATCCACACCGGGCAAACTGAAAAGTTTGCCTGACCTGGGAATCGAACCCGTGAACTTTGGGATACTAGTCCAATGTTAGGCCAAATGGCTGAAGTGTATATATGCATCCGCGAAAAGCGCAATGCTTATTAGTTAGTTTGGTTAGAAATGACCTCAATGGTTTCGATCTTCATCTGTTCGAGAACTTCATTGTTGGTAACGACGTCACTCCAGTGAACATGAAGGATGGAGCAGAGGTATCACCGATGGAAACGCTTAAGCAGGTCAGTGGGGGAGTAGGTGGGTGTATGATATCATCCTTACTTGCAGCCGAATTGTGAAGGACGCGATTCAACCTGGCTCTTTCCACACGAATGTCTTCAGTCCGGGAACGAGAATCAAATCCATGATCTCAGAGGTGAAAGGTCTCACTCTGATGATTGCGCGGAAGCCTCTTTTCAATGCGGTCACAAAAGGACCAGCAAAAATTGAACGGCAAAACATTTAAGAGACGATACCACCAAGTAGTCGTATAGGTGGCAGCAATTGGTATTCCTTATGCAAAAACGAATGGCTGACTACGTGAAGGAACTATTGTTACAGTTGTGGCAACATATAAATGTATACACTACATACCTTCACGATTTGACTTCTGACTTAATTTAATCACACTGTCGCAGATAGCGAGTTCGTTGCGTAAACTTTCGTTAGCTTTGTTACTCTCCATCAGTTGATTATTCAACAAAGTGATCTGTTCCTTGTCTCTGAAATATAATGGAATTAACTTCTCGTCAACATCGACTCCACATTGCTGTACCATTCTTATAATCCGAAACTAGCTGTAATATATATTGGATTATAATATAATTATTATTCAGTATACTTCACTGAAAACTGTACATGGCTATCTTCAAACCTTATTACAAACGTTCTTTATCGTTCTTGGTACAAAAGATAATACACTTCATTTCAAACAAAATCATTACGCATTCCGCCATCTTGGGTATGCATATCCATCGTGGTAATGGTTAAAAGGGATGGACGAGAGAGTGGTTTTCAAGACAATTCAAAATTTAAACTCAAACTTCGCTTTAGTTTAGTTTAGGGTTAAAGTTACTAAGTTAGGCTTAGGACTGGCGTTTGGTTTAAGCCAAGATTTAGGGTAAGGTTTAAGATTGTTATAAGTGCCTGACTGTCGATTCACTACTAGATTTGCGTTTTTACGATCATGAAAAATAGCGGCCATCTCGAAAACCTTCCTCTCGTCCATTCGCTATCCATCGTCAGATACGCGTGACTTCACAACCTGGGTACCATTATTTTGTATCTTTACTATTGTCTATTTTAAATAAAGGCACAAATATGCATAAGTTTTCCACTGATATTATTTTTAACATGTCTACCCTTGTTGTGACGTCACATTTAATTAGATCTAATTATAAAACAAGATGGCAGAATGTTTTGGTTCCAAATTTCCCAAAAATTAGGATACTTGGGAAAATTTGTAAAAAGGATTTGTAAATAATCTCAACATTCTTTCAAATTATAGGCAAACATACTTTTTGGTGCCATTTCCCTTTAATCCGGCTTGCATGCGGGAAACGAGGGACTGCTGACAACACATATGCATCCAGAAACGAAATACGCGTTGCCCACACAACGCAAAATTCTCATTGGTCGAAATCAAATCTGATACGTAACAATTATGCTATAAATAATTTCCAGACTTGAATGTTGATTATATAAATAAACCAGACATTGCTTAAACGAGCGGTTACCATTGGATACATTTAATTGGATAAAATTGACGTTTACGCAAAGACGGAGCCTACTTGACAATGCGAAAAGTAGGCGTTTCTCATTTTTTGATGTGTTGTTGGAAGTCCTCCTTTCCCCTCGCATGCCCGGAATTCCAAACCCGCGGAAAGGAGGGACCCACTCGCAGTCTACGCCCTTAATTAAGAATGAACTTACCTTTTCCTTGTCAGTCTGTGTTCCTCCAGTTGCTGTTGAATCAATTTCATTTTTTCATTAAACTTCCCAACTTTGAGACGTAAACTTTCGTTCTCTTTGACAAGTGACATACTTTCCTTCAAGACTTCTTCATCCCCTTCCTCCTTGCCCAGCTCTTTCAACTTTTCCTCCAGTTGTATACACAGTTCATCGTATGTTCTAATACTTTCCTCTAAGCGAGATCTCAGCTGTCGCAGTTCTTCAAGGTGGCCCATGAGAGGCTCTTCTGAGGAGCCAGATTTGGTAGCAAGTCTTTTGTTCGCTTCGAGTTCATATTTTAAGGCTGTGTTTAATTTCTCACTGAGGTTGAGTTTTTCACGCAAAGCTTGCAGTTCTCGCGTTAAATTGGTTCGACCATCAGGAGAGTCTAGGTTATTTACCACATTTCTTGATGCGGGAGATGTGGACGCCACATCAGATGAATGACCGGGACGTTTTGACGCAGACAATGCTTCCCTTAATCTACAAATTAAATTTACACAAAATTACATCATAAATATGTAATGAGTATAACTCCAGACGAAAGGCCTTCGCTCAAAACGTCAAAATTCTCCTTATATTTTTCAGGTAGTTGCATCCCTACCAACGAAAGCTTGTTCATATTATTGGCACTACCTACACTGGTACAGACAGTGCCTACTATATATTTGCACCTGCTCCTGGTTAGATCTAATAAACCCTTCAACAATTATTAGTCCATTCAGCGCCAACCCTCTCCAAGTAAAATCTTCTGCCGTTAGAAAAAGTAAAACAATCCGGCGTTAGAGGTAAAACAATAAAGCATGGCGCATCTGGGCGCAATGCAACCATGGGTTAGAGTAAAAAGGCCAGACTCCTGTCCGAAGGGCCCGTAGGGAGCAAGTAAAAGCTTATTCGTCTAGAATGATATTAACCAATGAACAACGTTACTAACATTGTTTAAACCAGATCTTAACTTGCATTCCTAGTTCTAAATGTTCCAGTTTAATGAAATAAAATTAAGGGAACTAAGTATTAGGACAATCCATCAAATCGACCAAAACATGAAAACTTATTACTCGCTGGGGCACTCTGTGCCCCAGACGAGTATAGGTTTCGGCACGCATTTTTGGTGGATGTCAGATTTCCGATCGTCGTTGGTTGATAGCCACAAAATAGAATATTAATGAGCTGCCTAATTTCCCCCCAATTATCCATAAGGCTCCTGCCAATTTTTACCCAAATTATCCATAAATAGCCCTCCATTTTGAGGAAAATTCGGGAAAATTGAACAATTTTACAAGGAATTTCGCA